GCTGGGTAGTAGTGGAGCATTCCTTTAATCCCAGCATTTGGGGGGCAGAGGCAGGCAGAGCTCTAAGTTCAAGGCCAGCCTGGCCTACAGAGTGAGTTCCAGGATAGCCAGGACTATACATAGAAACCCTGTCTCAAAAAAAGAGAAAAAAAAAAAAAAAAAAACAAACAAACCTTAGAATGAGGAAACACAAAGTCAAGTATTTAGATTTAAAGAACAACCACACTTGCCATGTAAGATCAAATGGTTCGGTACAAAAATAATAACTGTGCATGTATATATATGAAAAAAAAATAAGTATGCTGGGCGCTGGTGGGGGACGCCTTTAATCACAGCACTCAGGAGGCAGAGGCAGTTGGATCTCTATGAGTTTGAGACCAGCCTGGTCTACAGAGCTAGTTCCAGGACAGCCTCCAAAGCCACAGAGAAACCCTGCCTTGGAGGGAAAAAAAAAACCAAAAAAACAATAAGCATGTCATGTATGTGTAAATCAGAAAACCTAAAGACATGGTAAAATATTAACTACCTGGGAGTTTAGAAGAAGCATATATAAAAGTATTCTGCATTATTCTTTTAATTTTTGTTTATTATTACCATGGATATGAATATGAACATCACAGGACAACTTTGTGGAGCTGGTTCTCTCCTTCCACTTTTAAATGGATTGTTAGGCTTGTATGCTTTACCTACTGAGCCATACTGCTGGCCCTGTTTTTGTTTTTTGAGACAGGGTATCATGCAATTCAGTCTGATCTCAAAGTCTCTATATAGCCAAGAGTCACCCTGAACTCTTCCTTTCTCTACTTCCTGAGTCATTGGGGTTATAGGCATGAGCTATTAAACCCAACTATTCTGTAAATGTGAAAATGTTTCAAAACACAAAGTTGTCCCTACCCTTGAACAAAAGGCAACTCTAGAAGCAGAAGGCATTCACAGAACTGGTAGAATGGGATAACAAGAGGGAATGGCTTTGCTGCTTGTCAATACTGACACATAAGCTGAGAATTCAAGATAGCTGGCCTACAGTGAGTATAGCAGAGCTACCACACACCAAAAGGAGACATGAATATAAAAGCATAGAAACATAAATTATGAAAATAAAGGGAAGACCAGCAGTCATGTCTTGGTCTGTTTTATTTCCCTGTATTCTGCTATAGCTTCTGTGGTCCCTGATCAAATATTGCTTTTCTAAATAAAGAAAAAATTGTGAAATCAGAAAAAAAAAAAAGAAAGAAAGAAAACAAAGGGAAACTTGTTCAGTCCTTAGCACTGGGGAGATAATAAAATGGAAGGGAGAATTCATACTCAGTCTTCAGATCTTTTATTTGTCTTTAGTTTTTTTTGTTTTGTTTTGTGTGTGTGTGGGGGGGGTATTTTGCCTGCACGTTTGTCTGTGCACCATTTGCATTCCTGATGTCCTCAGAGGCATTTGGAGTTACAGATGTTTGTTAGCTAATATGTGGGTGCTGGGAATCAAATCAGGGTCCTCTGAAAGAGCAGCTCTTAACACTGAGCTATTTATCCAGTTCCTCTCCAGGTCTTTTTAAATTAAAGATACAAGAACATGTAAAAAGCCTTTAGTCCCAGCATTGGGGAATCAGAGGCAGGTAAATCTTCTGTAAGTTCGAGGCCTGCCTGGTCTATATAGAGAGTTCCAGGCCAGCAAGGACTACACAGAGAGAGAGACCCTGTCTATAAATGAATGAATGAATGAATGAATGAACGAATGAATAAAACAAAGCCAACAAACAAAAATCCCATATAAGAAAGAGCCCATAGGTAGAATGAAATTCCTAACTACTAAAAAGAAAAAGGGAAGGAACAGAGCCACAAAGAGGAAAGAAGGCCTGGTAGGCCACCAGACTATACAGATGATAGACTGGTTAAAGTAAGAAAAAGAAGAGGGAATTCTGGGAGAAAGAAGACCAGAAAGCAGGGAAAAGACTGAGCACCAGCACTCTGAGGTTCAACTGGACAGGGTTGGGCAACTGGAAAATGCAATGGCCAGGGCCCTCCTGCGTACCTTTGGCAGAGTCCTTAAGTAAGCATGTGCAGCGCTGTACCAGCAGGGAGAACATAGCCAAGCCCAAGGATGCAGCTTGTTCCTGGATCACAGAGCGACACTCCTCTGAGAAGCAGTCTGCAAAGGAGCAAAGGAAACTCCATCATACCCCAGGGTCCAAGTGCTACCTTGCTGCCCTATGGGAAGGGCTCCCTGGACACATTGTTCAGCTTCTTTTTCTCCCTCTGCAAGTACAGGTGATGGTAGTAAGCTCTCTCTTGAAGTAGATTTATATAACTTTGTATTATATATGGAGCACTTACCAGCATGTCCTGCACACAGACAACTGCTTGATAACATCACAAGATACCCTGTGATGTGTGTCTTTTAAATTTTTAATCTATTATTTTTATTAAAAAAACCATGTATCACTTATTACATGAACTTAAAAATGAACACAAATCAATTTTAGGTACTTTTTGAGTACACAGTATGAGAAATTTCTAACAAAGAAAGTATATGTAAGCAGGCAATACCACAAAGATACTTTCATTTCTACAATGCTCAAGGGTTAGATAATTGAAAAGGTGTAAAATATTGCATGACTAATAAAAATAGTTGTATTCTATATTTTTTAAAATAAAAATTAAATGATAATTTTACATGTGTATATGATGTAGTTTCAGGAGGCAGGGACGGAGAGAACTCTCTATTCTCTCTTGTCCACCACCAGTCCTCTGAACCCCTAGTACTTCCCAACAACTACCCCTCTTATTCTCTTATCTTTTATTTTTAAGTTTTCTTTGCTTAAATATTTATTTTATATGTATGTTTTCCTTGCATGTAAACATGTAGACCATGTTCATGCCTAGGGCCTGGGGATGCCAGAGAGGGCACTGGATCCTCTGCGAATTATAGACAACTGTGTGCCTCTGTGTAGGTGCTGTGTCTCCAAACCCAGATCCCAGTCCCTTTCATGTTTTTTAAAAATATTATTTATTCTTTGGTAATTTCATATATGAATGCATTTAGATCATACCTGCCTTCCCACCCCTTTTCTTAGTGACCCTTCAAGATTAAAGTTGCCAGCATGACCATGGGTATGGGGTTATTTAGTTGAGCATAAGTAATTCACCAAAGGCTATACCACTTGTAAGAAATGATTCCCCCACCTGTGTAAATTCTTCATCACATCACTTTCCTACACATCATTAAGTCAAAGTGGACAAAATGAACTGGAGCTATATAGTTCCTGCTTTAGTTAGCTATTTCTAATGTAAAACTATGGTATCAAAACTTATCAGCAGGAACACAATCAACAATAGATTTAAAACTTATTGTCTTGGATCACCAACTTTGGTTCCAGGCCTAGGTCTTCTATACTCCTCATCCTAAGATAGCACACATGAGACACAAAAACACATTAACCTATTTTTGCTGAATGAATTAATGTTATAGAGAATAACACTTATCATATAATGTACTTGATCACTGTTAGCTTGTTTGTTTGTTTTTTTTTTTAATTTTTCCCTAGGCAAAAAAAAAGTAACCCTGGCTCCTCATCTCTCACTCTTTTTTCGTTTTTTTTTCTTTTCTTTTTTTTTTTTTGTTGTTGTTTTTCCCAGGCCGGGTTTCTCTGTGGCTTTGGAGGCTGTCCTGGAACTAGCTCTTGTAGACCAGGCTGGTCTCAAACCCACAGAGATCTGCCTGCCTCTGCCTCCCGAGTGCTGGGTTTAAAGGCGTGTTCCACCACTGCCCGGCTCATCTCTCACTCTTATACCCTGGCTTTAACTTCCTTCTAGTTTTAGGTCACTGAAAGGAGCTACTCTGCTAATGGACAGAACTAGTCTTTGATAGGAACTAAATAATATCAGTGGTTTCTTCAACAGCCATTTCATCCAGTCTTGAAGGCAATCAACAACATGCTAGAAGCAGCAGTCCAAGGGAGGAGACACCCAACACACACAGGGAGATGGACACAGGGGACAAGCTCACTAGCTTTAGCAGTAGCAAATTTGTTAATACCCTCAGTAACATAGGAGAATGCAGAATCTCCAGGTGTTAAAAGGATAATAATCTACACACTTGATCTCTGTTCCTGTCTTCATTTTGACCTATCAGGCTGCTAGTCTTGCCAGGGACCTAAACAAGTTACTCCAGGAGACAACCACAGTTATTCATCAGTCTTCATCATAGGAACAAGGATGGCTGGAGCACACAATGTCTACCCCAAAGCATTTTCAAAGTTCTAGACCTGAGAAGCCAGCTGCTTCTCAGAAGGGTTCAACATATTGAATAGCATAAGAGGAAAAATCTTATTGTGGCTTTTCTACCATCCTACCAGATGCCCAATGGTCTCAAATGTCATCCTCTAACTTTCCAACTTAACTGTGGCAGGCAGGAAAGAAGTGGTAACAATCCATGAGATTAGGATAAATCACCACTCCCAGTCTTCTGTTAAGGACAAACCTTTGTTTAAAGAGAAAGGATATGAGAGTAGTTAAGATGGTTCAGTGGGTAGGGGGCACTTGCTACTAAGCCTTACAACTTGAGTTAGATTCCTGGAATCCGAATAGTGGTAGGAGAGATGTGATTTCAGAAAGTTGTTTTCTGGCTTTCACACCTGCATTATAGCATGTGCACTACCACCCCCGGAACACACACACACACAGAGACACACACACACACACACACACACACACACACACACACACACACTACTTTTTTAAAAAGAGACAGAAAGGAAATAAGCATGTAAGAACCAAAACAAGAAAGAATATGAGCAGAAGAGAAGAAGACTTGTAACTCATCCCAAGAAAAGCTGCAATATCTCCCTGCACCCCCAGCCATAGACAGCAGCACTGCCAATTCCATTCTATCTAGTACAGATTCTTGCAAGCCACTGACAGCAGCCTGCCTTTACTAAGCAACAGAGCCCAGATGAATGAATAAAGTCAGGACACGGGAAGCTGGGAGAGGATGAGTAAAAGCCACAGTCTGGTAGCTGAAACACTTGATCAAATTAGCATCCCCTCATTAGTTAAGACAGCTTAGGATGAAGTCACCTGCACACTGAAGGCTACAGGGATGGAGGGAGATGCCTTTGCTCAAAAAAAAAAAAAAAAATGGCATAGTAGTTTATTCTCAATGAAGATAAAACTGGCCAAGCTCATCTCTACTTTTATGATAAACAGCAATCTCAGATTATATTATCTCTCAGAGCTCAGGGTGGGAGCTAGGGCACAACAAGAAGAATGAACTGCTTAAAAGCAATGGTATCTGTGGCCTCTGAAGAGACTGGACTGCATAAGGTATAAAACCAGGTAGATATCAATAAGAACCTCTGGTGTAGAACCAGAGAAACAGCCTGAAGGCAGTTTTGCAGCTACCTTGCATGGTTATATCACTTTCCATGTATCACCATGTTCTCTTAGGCAAAGGCTCCAAAACACAGTGCCTGTTTGTTGGGTGGCCCAACTGGTGAAGAGGTACAAATTAGGGAGGTAGCCTTCCCTGATTAAGCAAGTAGACATATTCCAAACTATCCGAGAATGTGAGAGTCTTGGTCAGCCCTATGCTTAACTTGCAATCTGACTTAACAGAAGGCCTGTTCTCCATGGTTTGGTTGTATGACAAGAACATACTGAACATCTATGATGTGCTAGATCCAGCAGAGAATATAGCTACAAATAATTGTGGGGTTTTTGATAACTAAAAGACTTCTTACTAGGTTGAATTAAATTATCATTTACCCAAGTAACCTTGACAAAATGGACCCAATACATTGTAAGCGAAAATGTATTGAGTATGTAGTATACTCAGGATGTTCTTGGCCTCAACAGATACTACTCCCTGAGAGTATTCACTCTCATGAGAGCTGGCAGAAAAACAGCATCTAGAGTCCACAGCCTACCTACTTTAGTCCTAAAGGACTAAGGAAACTGGGCCTAATCTGATGAACATCCATATATATCCCCGAAGTTGGGCTGGGTCAGACCAGAAAGTGATGTGGGTGGGGAGGAAAAGGCATTGTTTGCCTTGATATTTGCCTGGTTCCTCTGGCTTTGTGTCAGGTAACAGAGGCTGACATGAGCTGAGGAACTCATTAACATTGTGAAATAGCCTTTCCCCTTCTTTCCAAAAGCAGGCTTTCTTAAGGATTTAGGGGGATGGTTTTGGCTAAGGACACCAGACAGAAATACTTCTTACCAAGAAAGTCTGCTGAAGTCTAAAGTTGGTCTTGCTCCTTCCTACAAGTAGTCAAGTGACCATACTTCCCAGTGCTCCTATGGCCAAATACCTGCTCAGGCAGAAATGTCTTCTTGCTCCTATGTAACAGGGAGACTTCCTCATTTTTCTGAGAATATATTCATGGAAAACATAAACCAACTGTCGTCAAAGTTGTATGAAATCAGGAAATGGGGCGGCCGGGAGAAGGCTGCCATGTGGCCGGATGTTATGTATTTCTAATTAGTGCTATACATCTTTCAACAGCAAGTGTCCTTCTGCTGGAAACACAACACACTGCCCTTGTTATTGTAACTGTCAGAGAAGTGCTTAAACAGATAATCTCCAGGAAAAGTGATAAACACGTCCCCTCTCCCACCAATGTGTGTGCAATGGTGCTGCCAAAGCAAAGCTGTGCCTGATGGCTCCAGGATGGCAAAGCATCCTCCTGCAGGAAATGGGAGTGAGACAGGAGAGGTGGGGAGGGGATAGGAGGAAAACAGTACAGGCCCACCTGCTTGGACCTATAAGCCCAGCCAAGAGACAATGACTCAGAGTCACTGCTTTTGATCAACTCCTGGGATTGGGTACCAAGTCTTTGTAAGGGAGAGATTTGGAGAAAACCCTAGTAGTGGGATGGGGTTTGGCTGGTCATAGAAAAAAACCCTGCCAGCAATGAAACCCGCAGAATTCTCTTAGTACACATAGCTAGCTTCCTGGCAAGAGGATGGGAACAGTAATGAAAGACTGACTCAGGGTGAGTGATATGTAAGTCTGCTACCCTGACAGCAGTGGGAAGGATTCAGAGGGCACTGGATTCAACGGCGATTCTATCAGACAAGCAACTATCTCCTTGGCTGCCTTACTAATAACTAAAGAAAAATTCAGCTGACCACTTCTTCACTGATTTC